GAGAGTAGGGGGAATATTAGCGTTACACCGAAAAAACGGACGTCCATGTGATGGAGCAGATAACGTGTTTAGATTGGCGCCACAATGTAGGGAGGTGTAGAGGCATTCAGTTGAACTTCACTCTGTGGTAAAGGTGTAGAATATGTGACATTGTGCATGACCAAACCAGGACTAGCAACCAGTTTCTAGGGGGGGAGCGCCAGCCAGTGAACCGTGAACGCAAACTTTCGTGGTGAGAGTCTATTTCACCATGGCTGTTAAGGTCTTTGTTGTTCTTAGAGCGTCAACCTTCCTGAAAATCTTTTGAATATTTGGTGTTCGCACGGGCGATAGCCTCAGTTCCTCCGTGTTGAAGCGGTGATCATACTAAGGGCGTGCGCAAAAAAACCGGGAAAAGGGGTCCTATCTGTTTCCATAGGCCTTTCTGGCAACACGAAGACACGGCCAACTTTGTAAAAAAGCCTTTTAGAAACTCCAGTGACATCCAAAATCCTCAACGCTAACAGAGACAGTGTGTCAAAGTAATTGTATTACATCACCTCCACTTCAAGAACATCCGCAGCGGTCGCTCGACTAGACGAGTGAGTCGTGTAATACCGTCTGTGAGCGACCATCAATCGTATAAAAATACGGATAACTGACGTGGTCTGCATTCAGATTTGATATAATTAAAAATAGTGGGCCTTTAGCAAAATCCGCTAGTTTTCGTAAATTTTCAGGTCAGTGACGCCACGCGTTATCAGTCGAAATGAACAGAGGAAAAAGAGAGATTGACAGACTTGGTCAGCTAGCGTGACGGGGCACACAAAGACAAACAGCCCGAAGTGTGCCACACCCGAGCCTCGAACTCGCGACCTGTTGGTTTAGAAGTCCACGCCTCTACACACCGTTCGGTGAGCGGCCCTACCATTGTATATTCCCGATCGAAAAAACCGACAAGGCAACGGCCTCGTGGCCCGGTGGGTAGAGGCGTGGACTTCTAAACCAACAGGTCGCGAGTTCGAGGCTCGGGTGTTGCACACATCGGGCTTTGGTATGGCTGTCTGACGACGGCTAATAAGCCAGAAATGGCCATTCCAGTCTCCCTTGACTTTGCCGGTAATGTCATTATGCCTATATCTCATGCGCCGCTGTGCGGCTGCCGGTTGGGGTCGAGAGTGGGTCCTTAAGGCACAACGGAACGAGTGAGTTCCTTATGAATGATCGGTGATCGCCCACTACTATTGTATTATAAAATGGTAGGGGGCGCTCACCGATCTTTCTTACGGAACTCACTCGTTCCGTTAGGTATGACTGGTTGATGACGGCTAATAAGCCAGAAATGGCCATTCCGGTCTCCCTTGTCTTTGTCGGTATCACCCTATCAAAATATATCATTAGTCGCTGTGCGACTGCCTGCGAGTATTTAAGTATGAGGCACTAGGCATAACAGAACGAGCATGTTATGTAACCTGATCGGTGAAGAAACAGGGTTGCGATCTCTGAAGACTGATGACAGTATCGTGGTTGTACCTGCTGACAAAGGAGGCGCAACCGTCATCATGTACAAGGCTGATTATGTTCGAAAAGCAAACACTATCTTTAATGACAGGGAAGCTTACGCACCACTCGCTGAGGACCCGACGAAGAAGCAGGCCGCGGTTATAAAGAAGAAGGTGAATGAACTCGCTCGACTGAAGCTGATTTACCCAAATGACTCTAAATTCATGACTCTCACTGACCCCCGTATCGTGCATGCCTATGGCCTTCCAAAAGTGCACAAACCAGATGCACCATTGAGGATAATAGTGCCACTCATCGGGTCGCCCACTTACAACCTAGCCAAATGGCTTTACAGGCATCTGAAGCACCTCGCTGATGAATCACAATACAGCATCACAAATTCTCAGTCTTTCCTTCAAAGGATTGAATGTCTAAATGTAATTCCTGATGAAAGCATTCTATCATTTGATGTTGTCGCATTGTTTTCCTCAATACCACATAACCTTGCCATTGAGAGCGTGACCCATCGCTTACGAGACAATCCCATCGACCTTCCAACACATCACGTTCTAGAATTGCTTAAGCTCTGCCTCAATAACTATTGTCAATTCGATGGCAACTACTACCAGCAGGTTAAGGGCACCCCAATGGGTTCGCCAATTTCGGGGCTACTTGCAGAACTAGTCTTACAACGACTAGAACAAGATGTTGTGCAAAGTTTCCAACCAAAAACGTGGCTCAGATACGTAGATGACACATTTGTCATCGTTAAGACCTGTGAAGTTGAGCGATTTCACCAGAGCTTGAATGGCGCCTTCCCAGCACTACAATTCACTCGTGAAGATGCAAAAGGAGGCACCCTCCCGTTCGTAGACGTGAGCATACAGAAGCTCAGTGACGGTGGCATCGCAACAAGCGTTCATCGGAAAAGCTCTGACGCTGAGATCATCCTGAGCTATCAGAGTAACCACCCAGCAGCCCATAAAAGAAGCTGTGTTCGGACCCTTTTCCACAGGGCCTATCGTTACTGCAGTAGCGCCGATTTACTCAAAGATGAACTGGCCTACTTGCATCGCTTTTTCAGACTCAACGGATACCCGGCGAGCTTTGTGAAAAATTGTCTCAGACTTCAACAACAACCACAAAACGTCGAATCTAACGGAGACAGAGTATCACGGAAATTATATTCCCTGCCCTACATGCCGAGAATTTCCGAAGCGATCGCTCGACAATTAAATCGATTCGGCATCTCCATCGCTCACCAACTGGCGTCTTCATTGCGCACGACATTATCCCGGGTAAAAGACCCCATACCGAAGGAGCAGCAAACAAATTCCATTTACCGCATTCCATGTTCAAACTGCTCTAGCGTTTATGTTGTGCATACCGGCCGACGACTTGGGACCCGCATTAACGAACATAAGTTGGCCATCCGCCGACGGGACCCCTTGTCTCTCGTGTTTGCGCACTCCCTTGAGTGTGATCACCGCTTCAACTGGGAAGGGACCGAAGTGATCGCTAGTGCCACCACCAAACAAGCGCGAGAGTTTCTAGAAGCTTGGCAAATCGGGTATCATTGTTCCCATTTGCACTGCCAAGTCTGTTTTCTAGAAGATGAATATGTGATAGCAAATTAACTTTGACGTCCTGGTCTAACGCTGATTGAGTTATAGGGTAGTTTGGTTAGTGAAATTATTGGCGTGATTAAGCTTACGAAAACACCGCAAACGTAAGACGTCGTGGTCGTGCTCAGTCGCCGGCTTGTGGGGGTTAGCTTTGAATGTGTAGGCGCACGCGTAGTCCCCACCATGTTGACTGTCTTGCCAAGAAGACAACTATAATTATTCTCACGCCCTAGCTTGCCTCGCCGTGGCAATCTTGGGTTCTCCGGGGCTAAGAAGTTGTCTATTGTTTTGTTCCCATTTCGCTATCAATTATGTTTTCCGCGTTCTGCCAACTGGGAAACCCGCGATACGAATATTTAAGAAAACAACATCTGCATCCCATATGACTTCGATCGATAAGTTACCTATTTGAGAATTGTTTTGTTCCTGCACTAAGTTCACGGATCTAGGTGTACTTTGCATTTCTGCCAGGTGAGGTAGTACTAGTCTGCATATATATATATATATTAATAAGAAAGGTGAAGTTCTTTGGGAAACGGCAAAATGTTATTGTGAATTTTCGAGACTGGTTCCCCAGCTCGTCTTCAGGCAACGGGCGTGCAGAAACAATTTTGCCGTTTCCCAAAGAACTTCACCTTTTTTATTACATTTCTTGGGATGCCTGTTTTTCAATTTATATATATATATATATATATATATATATATATATATAATATGACAGATGCGCGCTCACCGATCAGGTTACAGAACATGCTCGTTCTGTTGTGCCTTGGGGCTCATACTTAAACCCTCGCAGGCAGTCTCATAGCGACTAGTAGTAGACATAGATGATCGGTGAGCGCGCATCTGTCATAATTGATATTCCCGATCACAACCGACAGGACAACGGGCCCGTGGCTCAATGGTAGAGCGTTAAACTCCATGACCAAAGATCCCGAGTTCGAATCTCAAGTGATCCACACTTGGGGTTGGGTATGACTGGCTGATGACGGCTAATAAGCCAGAAATGGCCATTCCGGTCCTGTGTCCTGAAATCACAACGGGACGAGTGAGCTACGTAAGAAAGATCGGTGAGCGCGCTCTAGAATTGTATATTCCCGATCGAAAATACCGACAAGGCAACGGGCTCGTGACACCGTGGGCAGAGGCGGGGACTTCTAAAACAACAGGGCTCGAGTTCAAGGTTGGGGAGTGGCACACTTCGGGCTTGGGTATGGCTGGCTGACGACGGCTTGTAATCCAGAATTGGCCATTCCATACACACTTGACTTTGTCGGAAATGTGATTCTGCCTATATCTAATGCGCCGCAGTTCGTGATCTTTGCCACACATCCGGAGCTTGTTTGCTTTGTGAAGCCAAGAGATCGGTCTGAGCCCATTCCTGATTGATAAATACCCGATCTGCAGCGACAGAGAATGACAGGTGGCGAGGCACTGATGAACTTCGGTTCGATGAAGTGCTTATGACCCATCTGGTAGGCCTCAGTGGTGGACCGACTGCGCCAGGTGCGTCTGTGCGCATGTTTGTGTTTCTGGTCTCAGCTGCTGGTGGTGGTCAGGGTTATGATTGGCTGAATGAAGGCAGAATAAGCCCGAAACAGTGCTGTATCAATCTACCCGCATTCTCTGTCGTCCCTCCCTCCTCGCTGCTATTATGACTTGGCCGACTTCGGCCTGGTAATTGGTTACCTGTTCGTGACCTTTGCCACACATACGGAGCTTGTTTGCTTTGTGAAGCCAATAGATCGGTGTGCGCCCATTCCTGATATATATATATATATATATATATATATACAATCTTTTAAGGCGAACACCGTTTTTTTTACGGAACCTACTCCTTCAGTCGTGCCTCACGCACTCTCACTCTAGCCCAACTAGCCGCCGCTCAACAGCGCATGGTATATTTGGATGGCATATTACCGACAATTTCGAGGGAGACTTGAATGACCATTTCTGTCTTATTATCCGTAGTCAGCCAACCTTAATGAACCCCAGCGTGTGGAACACCCAAAGCTCGAACTCGCGATGTGTTACCTAGAATTGCACACCTCTACCTACTGGGCATCGAGCCGGTTGCCTTGTCGGGTTATTTTGCAGGTTTTAAATTCGTGCACACATTTCTGTAGGGTTTTAGTTCACTTAAGTTTTGATTTGCATCCCAGACATCAGAGCATTCGCATTTATTTGAATTACCTTCTTTAGAATATTTTGTTGTCCTTTGGGTAACCTAACAGCAAGAGCAATACGCGCGCTTACTGTCGAGACCTTAACTTTTTAAGTAGTTATTTGGTGCTGGCAAATTTAAAGTGAATAATCATTAACATACTGAATTTTCCCTTAATATTAATGGATGAAACAGTTCCTGTAAACTCTGAGCGGCCATCTTTAAAATCACTTGTCTTGAAGCTGAAAGTTTGCGATTTGGAAATTAC